AAAGACTGCGCAGCTCTCGATTTGCGGCAAGACTGGATATATCATCGTGTGCCTCGAGCATGCGCAAGAGCCGTTGTTGTAGCAGCGATTAAGCGGTTCGATGCGAGTTCCGCATCGTCTGCTCATCCGATGTTGCTTTCTTCTGTCGACTGGTTCTGCCGTACAACGCATAAAGCTCTTGAGATCTGTAACCCTACGCCTGATGCAGGGCTCAGTATCAGCATGGCGACGCATCATGGCTGTTGCATGACGACAACTGTAGCTGTGAAGACTATGCCTGCGAGCTTCCACCGAACGAACAACAGCGAGATGATGCGAAATTGTGTGTCGAATCGCCGACCGAACTATCGCTCCAAACTTCCCTCTGTGGCCCATAGCTTGCAACGTGCCCATTACCTTCTCTTGCCAGATCTTCTGCGAGACACAGATGGACGTTGTGTCGATGCGAAACAGCCGAAGTATGTGATTGTAGTACTCGCGTACTCGATGTCGATGGGCAAGAGAGATCCTAGTTCGTGAACCTTCGGCCGTAGGACGCTTGTGCAGACAAGGAAGAGGACTCGATTGGCATTTCTTGGAGGTTTGGCGATGCCAGCATGTCTTCGGCCAACACGCTTGTGGTGAGCCACGGAGAGAGGTCTCGCTCGAATATTACCTAGAGTTTTGGTAAAGGTTACAGTGCGAGGCCGAACCCCGAAGGACCAGCATAGTCGCTCCGCCAACGAAGGTTGGCGGATAATTGCAGCCAAAGGTAGAAGCCGACAACGCTGCCCGAGTACTCAAGTAACCTGTGGCTGGTAGTTGTCTGTCCCGCATGCCTCTCCTTGCAGGCGTTGTAGCTTCCTACGTCGAGGGAGATGTTCAGTCGGAGCTTGGCCAAGCGAGTGGTCTCTCCCGCGGAGGTCTCAAATCCGGAACAGCAAGAGTACCGAGCGGACAGAGTGGCCGCAGGTATAGAGGCAGTCGAGGTGGGATTGCGAGCATTCGAGCGGTAGGTAGGTGATCCGACGCAAGCTGCATGCAAGGTGGGCGCCGCTTGGAAACACCTCCGAAGCTTGTTCGAGACTCGATGTCCATGGAGCTGTAAACCTGGCAACAGAAGTGAAGTGCGCAAGCAAGCCAGTGTTGCTTTGCCTTTACCAAGTTCCCTAGAGAAGTTGTCTCGAGGCATGTTGAGCATGGGAGAACGACGCGGACTGCCGGGTGAGGGGCAGCGTCGCGTTGAAGCACACCAGCTCGATCCAAAGCAGCCCTTCCTGGTATCATATCACCATGTGCCTTCCTGAAGGTGCCACTATAGGCGAGCGGCAAGCTGCGAGCTGCGAGTCGCGGTCGGGGTCGTCGTCATGGGCGTACGGCGGGTAGGACGATGTCTTGCTGAGGAGCCATCTCAGCGGCTGAGGCACTGGGCGAACTCGGAAGACATGTGCATCTCAGAGGCTCGAGTCTTCATCTCCATGTCGTATGTCGAACGCGTCGTAGCGATGTGGAGTCGATCTCGTGGAGCTGGTGGTTGGTGGCGAGTCGGTGTGTGGGCTGAGGCGAGAAATTCAGGAGGGAGGCGCGATGGTGATGCAGGTCCATGCGGACATGGCGAACTTCAAGAGCAAGAACAGCCGCACCATGCACACAGCAGCTGGCAAGTAACGACTCCGTCGTCGACGTGTATTGCACAGAGCTACTGCATCGATGCGAGTTCGTACGTCAGAGCAGAGGGAGTCGGGCCGAATCATTCGCGCATGAGTTAACGAGGCCAGTCCCGCGGAGACACCACGCCGTGGAGCGACTGCAAGACAACAGCACTGGAGGGATGCACTTCATCAGAAAGGTCCGGAGGAGCAGCTTCCTCATCGTGGCAAGAGCTACTGGATGTACCGCATCTGGAATCGCGCTCAGGAGGAAATGCATACCATATAGGATAGATGCAGGCAAGTCAACCCTACCTCAGCCCTACTACAATGCAGACAGATGCTAACACTCAAGCAGATAGTTCATTAGATACAGCACTATATTCGTAGACCCAAAATATGCCATCTGTTGACCTTCCACTGTTGTGCACCTGCCTGCCTTGTGGACGAGATTCTGCCAAGGACAGGAACCGATGGGGCATCGTCCCTGCTGAACGCCCTCCTAGCGCCAGAAACTCTAATCGCACCTCTGCCCACTCCCTCCCGACCCCTCTTGTTTACTGACCACCCCTGCCTCAACTTCCTCTGCGACATTCGCCAAGCACGAACCCCCTTCGCATTGCCGCAACTAATGCAAAAGAGCTTCTCGTACGCGTCATTACGGTTCAGATCCCCTGGATATCCTCCTGAGCAACACAGCGCGTCGCCTGCCTCCATCGCCATGCACAGTTATCCCCGGCGCGACGAGCCACTTCCACAACCGCGTCTGAATTTCCTAGCAAGCGCGATGGCAGCTCTAAATGGTAACAGGCTATGTATCTCCGCTTGATCTCCGTCAGGGTATCCTTTGCAGTCTGGCCCTCGATGAGGCCCGTTGTCGTTGCGACATCAAGCACGCAGACAAACATCGCACACTAATGACCTACAGCGCTGCAGCGACCACACCGCTTCGCAGAAGCACGATCTGGCCGCCCACCTCTCCTCTGCCGACTCCCAATCGTTACGCTCGACTCTGTCGCTCTAGCTCACACTGCCTGCGTAACGACGGTACAACTTCGATAAAAGAATCAGCAGTATGCTTCCGCTGTAAGCTGTCAACGTTTCCGTGTAGGCTGTATCAACATCAAAATCGCGCCTACCGTCTGAGTGTAACCGCACCTCTGGACTCCGCACCAATCTTGAAGGCCTTCTTTCCCATTCATAAACCCGTGCTTCGGGGTGGCTATCGGCTGCCTAGGAAGTCGAGCAGAGTCTCGGACAGCTGTACAAATCCGCAAAGGCGTCTATCTAGCATGCCAGCGCGAGTCGTAGATATTGCGATCATCAGGTCCAAAGTTCAAGTATCTGGCAAGGCTCATGTACATCTTCCTTCACAGAGCTCTCGCCTTCCAGTTCGGAAACAATACCAACTGGTAAACCCAGCCGGCAGTATGTAAAAGCTTCTATCGCGCGCACCCATCATCTTTGGACCTTTTCCGGATGTTCAACAACATCAAACCCTTGGCTACGGAGCCTAGCATCGATACCTATCCTGCCCTTCCTATTAGGCTTGGGCTGATGTCCCCCGTTCAATATCTTGCCATTCGGTTTGCACTTGGTATCTGGATGACCTAGCAGTAGGTTTCTTCTGCTTGCCGAGCGAAAGGTAAGGTTCACTGATGTGAGAGGTTCTCTTACTCTGTCAAGTCTAAGTCCGGGTATGTCATCTTCTTTACATTTTGGGTTCGTTATATTTCCTCTTCCACGCGTTCTTCTGTCTACACCTGGGCTTCGATCCACCAGAAGGTTTCCTACCCCTTCTCTTGAACATATGTCACAAGCCATTGCAACCAGCCATTGCACTCTGGTTCTGTCAACTTGTTCAGGCACCTTGTCCACAACATGATGGAGCTAAGCAAGTACATTGCTAGTCAGGCTGTTCTTGCGAACAATACTAAAAGAGATGGGATTTAAAAAAGGCTTCTTTGGGACTCAACATTCTGGAACTACACACCATTAGTGCAGGACCCGCAACGTGGGCTCAGTGAATACTAATGGCCCGCAGCCGCCACAATAGGCAACGTATATCCACGGCGAGACAGACAATACAATAACACTTTCTGATTGTAGTCCGCTCATCGACGCCGACTATCGGCCTTTACCGCCAGTTTGCCACCCGGATTCCCACGTCACCAAGGGTTTGAAGCGCGGGGTATGACATGTACATGAGCTTATGCTCACGTGTTGTCGCTCACCCAGGCTTCGAGACACCACAGTCCGCGCCGTTACCGCTTATATCAAGCGTCGCTAAGACTTGTGGGTATATATATATGCCTTCAACTTACCTTGACATAACCTTTCCTCATCCACAAAGGCTCTTGCTTCCACAACATCAGAACCTCAAAAGCAAGACGTCGCTCTCTTACCTGGATATCCTCGCTTATACCGTTCAGCAATACGACTGTATCCCCAACCAACGTTGACAATTGGAAGTCTGCCAGTACTATTCTTATCTTCTCACGCAGTACCTTGCAGTGCCTTTGCAACTTGATCGGAAGCTTGCGTAACCGCCCGATATTCCGACACGTCAATTGCTATCCTGAACCCGAACCGAATTACATCGAACGAATTTTCAACTTCCGACTTACAGATCGAGAAGAACGTGGTGGTGGTCGCATCAAGACACTGCCATCTCGACTGCGTTGTGTTATCTGTGGTCCCTTAGCGTCCTGCCTTGTGGCTCAACTGCCCGCCGTCAGCCACCGCACCCGCGAAACCTTCTCCGTCTCGAACAAACAGGAGGCGGCAAAGAAGACATATAGACCGTTACGGTTAGGAAGTTCAGAGTGAACATCCTCCCGGCGTCTCCCGTGCTTCACGCCGTCTAGTCCTGTTTGCGAAGAAGAAGGGGTGTGTTGCTGTGGTCTTGGCTGAGCGTACGTTGAGCACGTCCTCCCTACCAGCCAGTCCGTCGCCTACGTAACTGCGCTGCTCCGGAGCTCGATAACGCTAGCGCCTCGTCTGCCTCCCCTAAGTCCCCTCCCACAGCTGGCCCATCTCTACCCCACCACCTGTGAACACCCTCGCCCGCACATCTCCACAAGGTACGTACCCCCGACAGCTTAGCTGCTGCTTCCCCTGCACCGCTCCTTCCTTTTGCCTACATCAGCAGCACGCTGGCCGCTTCGTCGCGGCGCTGCAGCTTGTGTTGTTGACTCTCCTCCGCTTTCCGCCCCGCATACAACAACACGCCCACTCTGGTGTACACATTGAGCCTTTGCTTGACCTCTTGCTAATATCAACACAGAGAGCACTTTGGTTCTTGATCCATTGCTACGAATTGCACGTAAGCTACTGGATATCATGTCCCGCTTCCACAACAACCAGCTAAACATGGTTAGCCTCTTCAACGAGGAACCGACCACACCAACACATAAGCCCAATCGCAAGCGTAATCGCACTATGCCCGCACCTGAGTGTCACTCCAAGAACCTCCTGCAGCACAACGGACCTATTGAGACCTACCGCGGTCCCGAAGTTGACAATTCCTACGTCAACTACGGTTTCGAGAGCGATATGCACCGTCGCGGTCAGTATCACGGTATGGGCGGCTATGTTGCCCCAGCTCAAGCTCCGATGAACAACGGCAGCTCTGTGAGTTATACCCCCACATATGACAGCGATTACGCCGAGAGCGATCGCGAGGACCACCCCCCATCCAAGATCCCAAAGATCAACAAGGATGGCGCTCCCCGCAAGCCACGCCAGCCTCGTCCCAAGCTACTCAAGTGGAGTGACAACGATTGGAAGAATGTAGTCCTCGGCATCGTCTGGGCCTGTGGTGAGACTGGTGTTCAGATCCCGTTCGACCAGGCTGGCCAGGTTGTCGGCGAGAGCTGTACTGCTGGCGCACTTCAGCAGGCCATCTTGAAGTTGCGCGGCAAACAGATCGCAGAGGGCTACCAAATTCCATCGTTGAGGATGGCGTGGACGCGCAAAAACAAACGTTCATCTTCCTTGTCGTCCACTGCTAACACCAACTCTCAGCCAAACGCTGGTCAGGACCCACTGACTCCCTCCCATCCGTCCTTGATCGTGAAGCTAAAGGTTCCAGTCTCCAAATCTGTCGGCGTCAAGCACTCTCCAGGCTTCAACAAGGCCGGTGCTGATACTGTCCGCGAGGAGTCCAAGGAGAAGGTCCAAGTTCTCAACCAGGCACAAGACCAGAAGCCCGTCGTGGTTGATGGCGACGTCTTCAACATTGACTCCCACCGTGCTCAAGACAAGGTTGGCCACGCAGACGTCAAGACCATCGGTGTCAGCGGTCCCAAGTCCGCTCCCGACAGCTCCAGGGGTTATTATCCCGACACTGTCGCCCAACGCAGGCCTACCCTTTACCGCAACGATGCCCAGACCCACCTTGACGTCAACAACTTCGTGGATGATACTCAGGTGTATGACTCTGATGCAGACGGCCGCAGCAGGGAGATGGAGTCCGTTGAGCTGGACCCGTTCGAGTTTGTCGACGTGGACAACGAGGCTCTTCTTAGACACCCACGCCGTGCGTTCATCCCCGAGATGTCCCCTCTGTCGGGCCATGCTTACGAGAGTCCTTATAGTTTCCAAGTGGAAGAGGGTCAAGATGTTAGTGGCCACTCGCCTGTGTGGCACGGGTCGGGACAGCGAGGAGCCCAAGGTTTCCTTGGCTTGGCTTGCTCGCCGCAAGCTGGGCTACCGCCGCTAGAGGCCGGTCATATCCCTGATTCGTTTCCTCACGACGTTTTCGCGAACTGCGGTTTCACTCAGGGTTCATACGTCGACGTACCCATGGCCGAGGCTTATGATGGCTATGGTTTCAACGCGGGACATTTCAACTAAAAGCACCTCGCCTCGTCACCCGCCTTCACGCGAGTAATGGTTAGGTTTACACGACTGTAAGAACAACTGACGTCTCTCAAGATCGCTTTGCTAACTGTTGTGACCAGTATGATGGACGGTTTCTTTATGATAGCACGATATTCACGGTTCACGGTTTTTCATTTTGGCTGCTGGTTTTGCAGTCTGGATATGGTATGACACGACATGGTCACATGAACACACTGGGTGTTTATCTTGTTCATGGGTTGATGTGACTACTTGGCTTGAGACATCTACGTCGGCCTTGGTAGCACTTGACATGGTCTTTGCACCACATGATTGATGGATAGGATACCCGCTTCACGGATGAAAAGTTTAGGTACTTGAGTAATGGAAACTTGAATACCTCTATGATGACCTCAATGACGGTGATGCTACTGCTATTGATGGTGATGACGTAAATGACCGAATGAGTGACATGAAGTCGCGCTAATACCTCATCCTCTACCCCAATATTTGCCGCAGTATCTTCCCATACCGATTTCGTCGCGCGCTCTACTGAGTACAATAGCCGCCAATATCCGAAAAGCGTATGACTCACCCAGTGGCTCAGAAGGTCAGGGCACGCGACGCACAAACAAACGCGAAAAGTCACGGTGAACGTGACGCGTCAACAACAATAACAACGGGTGACGGTGACCAGGGATTTAGGCAACCGCGAAAGGCTTCTCCACGCGGACGAGGAATGACGCTCCAGGCAGACATGTAGTGTTTGCATACTTTGGCAGGTCTTCCGAGTGAGACGTGAAGTGGTATGGCGAGCTGTTCGCTATGTGTGAATGAAATGTTCTTATTCTAGCAACGAAGAACTTCATCAATGACGTAAATCGCCGTCTCAACCATTAAAAACCTTTACCCCTCTTCTTTGCTTCACATCTCGGATTTCCGAGTCTACGCACCTGCTAGCTAGCATTCTCATGATCATCGCACGACATTACAGCAAAACCACTGACCCCGTTGACACCGTGCTTTCTTGACCTCAACACCGAGCCGACTGTTTCGCCGATCGCCGCAAATTACCTAGGTAGCAACTTCTATCGCAACGTTTCACGCAATATCCCTCGCATTCGAACAACTCGGTTTCCCACAGTTCATAAAGGAGACAGCATGGACCCGAGGTTTTGGCCTGGGGGAATGGGCGGGGGTATGGGGGCCGGCATGGGGCGAGGTATGGGCGTGCCCGGCATGGCCATACCAAACATGCAACAACCATTCTACCCACCACAAGGATTCCAGCACCCGTATCAGCAACAAGCCCAAGCACAAGCCCAAGCCCAAGCCCAAGCATACGCACAAGCACAAGCGCAGCAACAGCAATCTTCCCCACCTCCATTCGCAACCCCACCACCATCCAAAGACTCCAAATACCCCCGCTTCGTCAACCCCTTCCAAGACGAGAAGCCGCAAGGGTCTTACGGTAAGCGCGAGTACGTACCGGGGCAGGAGGCGATACGTATTCCAATTGGGCATCGGGGTGACGATCCGTGGACTAATTGGCATATGATGCAGGCAAGAAGACGGTTGCAAGAGATGAGGAGGAGTTGGTGAGGTAGGAGGGGAAGGATGATGGGGTTGGTGAGTAGATCAAGTCGTGTTGTCGAAGTGATGCAATAGCGAAAAATTCATTGTTGGCCATTGCCACGCTGAAAGCACCAACTTTGGTGCAATATTACATCCTCCATTCCTCCCTATGTACCATGCTTCGGCATGTACCATCCCCCATCCATCCACACACCTTCATTTCCTGCTCCCAGTTGACCCCACATCCCCTCGTACTTCCCTCGCCGCAAGCCTAAGTCTCAATCTTGGGCACTGCGACAGCCTCATCGTGCTGCACACTCCTCTTCCTCTCCTGGTTCTGCGCCACCTCGCCCAGATTTATGTCGTGTCCACCCTTGGGATCGATCTCGGCGAATTGGACAGCAGGACGGAACTCCTGCGATTTCCACGCTTTGCTGACGATGCCGTAGAGTTCGTCGACTTGTTCGAGACTGAGGCCCTTGGTTTCGTAGATCATGAACCAGCTGTAGGGGGGAGAGGTGTCAGCGTTTGTCATGCAGATGTTGGTGGTTGGGTAGGATGGTGTTGAGAGCAGGGATCACTTACACAAAGGCGATGCAGACGAAACAGAATGAACCCCACACGAAGAAGACCTTAGATGCCAGGTTTGCGTGGTCTTCGTCGACCATGTACGGGGTTGAGTAGGCAATTGCCCAGTTGAGCAACCTGGAATATGGCGTTAGTCTTTTTCGATACCATGATCATTGTCTGTGAACATACCAGTTGGATGCTGTGGTCATGGAAAGACACTTGGCACGTGCCTTCAAAGGGTACAGCTCGCCGGTCACAACCCAAGCGACTGGACCCCAGGAGCTGGCGAAGAAGAAGATGTAGATGCACACAAAGGCAATGGCAGCGCGTTGAGCTGCGAGATCGGATGTACCGGCTACCGTTCCTGTGATGGCGACGATATACTGACACACGCACATGCCGATCGCTCCGAGGAGAAGAAGGTTGCGTCGACCGAGGCGTTCAACCATGTAGAGACCCGCTATAGATCCGAAAGTCAGTACTGTTTTCGTTTGGCTTGAACAGGAGTGGCTTACGGAAGGTAGACGCAACGTTGACGCAATTGGTGATGACCTGGATGATGAAGGGGTCTTGGAAACCGGCGTTCTGGAAGTATTGGGTACCGTAATCTGGACATGTTAGAGGGAGCTGCAAACGAACGTGGTTGAGAGAACATACAGAAGATAAAGTTTACACCAGTAAGCTGTTGTAGCGACTGCAGCAAGCATCCAGTCACGAGACGCTTGCCCAGCGTTCCCTTGAAGCAGTCGGCGTATGTAGACTTTCCCAACGACATCTCGTAAAGATGGTTGGCCTGGACCTCGTTCAGTTCCTCGACGATAGCTGGGTGATCAACCGGTAGACGGCGGAGCTTGCCGAGACTGTCGGCAGCCTTCTCGTATCGGTCCATCTTGATGAGGTATCTCGGTGTCTCTGGCAAGAAGAATAGTCTAGCGGAAGGTTAGCAGCTGCCATCGTGTAGTTGACATCCACGCGCTTACCCGCCGACAAGAACGATAGACCATAGGAATTGCACCGCGATTGGAATACGGTATGATCCAGAGTCATTGCGGTCTTTAGTCGAATTGTTCACAATAGCCGCAAGCAGCAATCCAATCGTAATAGCAAGCTGGTAAGCTCCGACAATCGTTCCGCGAATCCATTTCGGCGCAGTCTCACTCTGGTACATAGGAACTGTCGTCTTGTTAGCTTTGGTGCAAGCGAGCCAGATGCCCCGCAGAGCCTCATCGATGCGGGGCGAGGGGCGTCAGCCACCATTGACGATCAGCCCCACGATGCCGGGAAGCGAAGAACAACGAGAAGAAAGCTAACTTACTCAGAGCTGAGATGAGACCAACACCGTAACCGGCGAAGAAACGACCGGCAATGAACAATGGCTGCGCTGTCGCGGCCGTCTGCAGAATGACACCGAGGTTGAAGACGACACCGGCAGAAACCATCAAACCGAGGCGGCGGCCAAGTAGATCACCAAATGGCGCAGCCGTCAAAGCACCGAAGAAGGTACCAGCTGAGAGGATGGAGACAATCAGAGAGTCCTGAGCTGCTGTGATACTGAGATCTGGTTCGGTGGAGAATTCCTTCTTCCAGTAGTCCATGGCAATGATGCCAGAAATGGTACCTGTGTCATATCTAAGGAGATCAGAACGTGCGCATGATATGACAACGACGTGTAGGCTCACCCGAAGAGGACACCACCAAAGGCGACGAAGAGACCGATTACAATGGCAGGCCTTGGAAAGAGTTAGGTGTGTGTATGGTATTGTGTCCAGTGAAGCTTACCATGCCTTACCAGCTGTGTCTGGCGGGGGCTTGAGCATGAAACCCATGATGGCAAAGTTCGATTTGACTTCTTAGAGATGACAATTGGCGATGTCGCGAAACTCGAGACGCGTAGTCAGGCCGTTCAACGGAGCGCGCAGTCACTCTTTATCTCAGGATGCAAGCTCCGAGCATCTCTCCATCCAGCTCGCGATCCCGACAAACCCTTGTCCCATGCCGCTGCACCTCAGTGCCATATCACAAGTTGCTAATCCCAGTCGGATTCCCAAGCCAACCATTCTTGCATGGTATGCCCCGCATCATAACATGGAGCGTACCGCAGTTGGTTATTACCCCGTACTCGGCAGGCTGACCTCCCTCACACCACTAACACTTACGTCGGAGGCTGGTGACAAGACAGCGATCATAGAAGCCAGACACGATCGCCCAGCGGCTGTTCGTCACAGGAGCGAACAAAGACTGTCGAAGTGGTGGCTCAATCAGACGATGTCCACGGGCAAGGCATCATGCCAATTCTCCCTCTCCGCCACGAGCGCGTGCCATGGCAAAACCATCACGCAGGAAATGCCGCACATTCTGCAAGCAAGGCGACGCGTTCTTCCAGAAGTTTGCCGCTCCCAATGATCGCGTCAACCGTCCGGCATGTCAGAAAAAGGATGGGCCGATTATCTCCTTGCATCCCCAGGAACTCCAGAGTGGAGACTCGTCGGTATGATTCTCGGAGCGCTGAACATTGGCAGAGAAATGTTTTCCCCGCGCAACACCATGATGACCGCAGCGACAATGAAAATGCAGGGAGTCGGATCCTACGACATGCTATCTTGTCGTCCTTTCAAAAGGGGCCCTGGAATATATGCTCGTGACAGTTGTTGTTCTCCTGTGTAGATGCTGTCGCGCCGTCCCTTGAGCCAATAAGCCTTCGCTTCCTTTCGCTTCCCTTCGATGTTCAGTGCTCGGCATTGCTTGGACCGACGCGATGACTCGGGGACGCGTGCTTACGGCGCAGCATCTGCATCGCGATGTCGATGATGAGTGGTCGACGGAGCGGTCATGCCTGACATGTGCCGTGCCGTCACCTCGGTCTTACTGCGACAATGAACGTCTCTCTTCCAGGCTGATTTTCGGGATGTGGAAGGATGGTTGAGGTTGATGAAATGTGGAGGTACTCCGGGGTAGCTGCGGAGTCTAACGGGCGCACTGGCGGCGCTGTACGTCAGAGGCATCGACGCATCGCTAGAAGCCACGAAGACGTTTTTCGCGCATCGAAGCTCGATCGCGCAGGTACAAAGTTTGCAATCGAGGCTGCAGAGGGTTTCAGAACCAGGTCCTGGGATTTGGATCTCAGTGGGCAAACTCATCTTACCAGATCCTAGGAAGGAGCCCGCTCGTGTGTTTAGCAAGATTGGTTGGGCATCTCCACCAGGGTGCGACGATCGTGACGATCTGCTGAAAACAGTGGTGACATGTCCACCTAACAAGCTTCTTTGGCAGTAGCCAATTTCGAGTCAGGCATCACGAGTAATGGCAGAAAGCTGGTTGAAATATAGCGATGCAAAGTTTTCCTCGTGCAACAGGCAGGAGCTGCCACGCACGTGGGCTTGTTGACAAAAGGTCGAGACGGAAGTCTCGACCGGCGCAAAATCCTTTGCCGAGAGTAATGAAATGCAAGAGCAATCCAGCCTCATCGACAAAACATCGAACCACCGAAGATCAACGCGAAAGCTAGTTCAGTGACAACAAATCTCTTTCGAGAATGCATTGGTATCTAGCGGAAGGAGCCCATGCTCCAGCTTTTTGTGCTTCCTGCCTTCCGAACCAACAATACACTATGCCTTGTTCTTGTCACCACTCTTTCTCCGCGCCTTCTTGGACTCAACCTTGGTCTCCTTCGCGCTCACGCCGTTAGGTGTAGACGCAACTTCGATACCGCCGCCCTTCTTCTCTTTCCTGCCTGCCTTCTCCTTTGCGCTAACGTCGCCGTTCTTGACCTTTGCTGACTCTTTGGGCGACTCCTTGGTCGCCTCCTTAGCGGTCTTCTTGGGCGACTCCTTGGTCGCCTCCTTAGTGGTTTCCTTTGCTGCTTCCTTGGCAGTGCCATTTGCAGCCTTCTCGCCCTTTGGCACAACAGCCCTAGGGTCCTTGCCCTTCCTGCGCATCGTCTTAACCTTGGCCTTCTCCATGTACTTCTCGTCCTCATCCTCGTCGAAGCCACCAAAGTCTGATTCATCGTCGCTTTCTGCCTCGATGGGCCGACGATCGACGATCTCAAGTCCGGTGGCTGGAGCGTTGGCGTTGGCGGTATTCTTAGCCTTTGCAACTGAGGATTCGTTGACGCCAACGGCGTTGGGCGGGGTAGGAGCGATCTTCTTGAACTTGGCGACGAAGAAACCGTCGACGTTGTATGTGTGGGGGTAGTATCTCCTTGTCATCTTCATCGAGGGGTGGAAGGCCTTGCCGCCGATGTTGGTGAATCCCTCCTTACCGAAGGTGAGGCCGGTCTCTACGAGCTTGACGTTCGGTCGCTTGTTCAATGCGTACTGAACGACTTGCTCGTTCTCCTCGAGGGTCACTGAACAGGTACTGTAGACGATGTATCCTCCGGTCTTTGAGTGGTGGTTGACGGAGTCGATAGCGGCGAGCAACAGCTGCTTCTGGAGATGGGGAAGCTTCATGAAGTCTGCTT